GATGATGATGATGATGATGATGATGATGATGATGATGATGACGATGACGATGATGATGATGATGATGATGATGATGATGATGGTGATGGTGATGCTGATGATGGTGATGGTGATGAAGGATGAATGATGAATGATGAATGATGAAGGAAAGATTATATAATGATAAATGAATGATAATGATGGTGAATGATGAATGATTGGTGATGATGACGATGTTGCGGATCAATTTGACCGAGTATTCAAGTGTGCTTTGGCATAGAGTTTAACGGGTGGAATGCCTGCCCTGCTCCGACAATGACCGCACAATAGAAGAAGGCTCGGGCCTCTTTGGAATTTCACTGTCGGATCTAAAATGGATGAAAACTGACATCCGAGCCAATCCGCTGTGCAAGTCAAGAAAAAAACAGGTCACAGGCCTGAGGCAGCTGTGTACGTTCTGAGGTTCTGCACTTGTCGATCAGCATTTGCTTGTTTTGCATGGTAACGGCAAGCTTTGGGCTGGCTGCAATCTGCGCAAATAGAGATGAACGCAAACAGACCGAGAATGACAATGCAAAGCAAAACTACGTCAGCTTGCATCAATGTGACCAACTATGTGCTAGCTAAGTGCTCTCTTATTGATCTTATTGTGCAAAAAATCCCTCCTGTCAGTGCCAACCCTTGGTCGATCAGTCCAAAACCATTCAAAGATGAAAGGTGCCGCATCGCTGCATCGCATCGCCGCATGACATCTCATTCCTCCCGACGGCGGTCGGTTCCGATGGCCTGCACTTTCCCATGGTCTGAGTGGTAGTTCACCGACACCGAGAAGTGGAAAGGCAGGTTCAAAGTCGTGTCCGGAATCCAGTACTCAGCAGAGCTTAGAGGCGGACGGCATTCAAGGCAGCCAACAAGGAGGGGAAGGATGAACCCATGTCCTGTGCTTACCTCTCAAAATCCAAGGATACTTAGGAACTTTGCTCTGAACCAAGTGACATTACAGCCGTATAATGCCAATAATGCCTTACTGGTATATTGTGGAGCAGCATCAGTAGCTTTAAACTCCAAATCTCTAGAGGCTCTGCATAGATCTCTTTATTTACGGTCTGTCAGAGTAGAAAGACAATCGAATTGAAACAACATGAAACGAATGCAATCGAATCCAGGTTCAGTTCGGGTAGTTGAAGACCCCATCTTAGCACTCGACTCCTACGGTATCATTTCATTCGTGTTCCGATGTTCCGTTGTTTATGCCCTCCGAAGTGATTTGACATGTGCGATTCACAAATCACTGCTCTGGAAGGCTGTCTTCAACGCTGACTCGCACTCTCAGGCTACTCCTTCCCAATCTCTTAAGACTCTTGCTGTGTTTATCACTTACACCTAGCGATTCTAGCAGCATCTCTTCCCTAACATCTTGGTGTTCCTTGGGACTAGTTGTGCTTAACATTGCTTGACTGGTAAAGCAGTGAGGCACCGAGGCGAGCGAGAACTCACCATCGGGCGGAATGAAGGACAGCGCCTCCCGACAGGGATAAACACATCGGAGAAAGAAGAACGTTGTTCTCTGGAATCGTTGTTGTGATTTCTTGATGGCTGGAGGTTGTTTCCTTTTTGATCTGATATGATGACTGATGATTCTGATGGCAATATCTAGTACCATTGGCTGAAGTCTTGAGGCAAACAAAAGAAGGCCCTTGTGATTGAACCCTGCGGATTTGTTGCGTGTATGGTTTCGCAAAAGCAAAAGGAGCAACCCAGCTCATTCGTAGTTTACTTGTATCTCTCTTCACACTGACTTGTACCCTGCAGTCAGGATCGGACTTGTAAATTGCATCATCCAAAGTGATCGGAACACTTTGAAACAAAAAACCAAACCTCTCCGCATGCAAAGCCACGAGATGCACCAATTCGATTGCGGTCGCCCGTCCTTGTCCCTTTGAAACCTTGGAAGTCGTACCTCGGCCACCCGTTGGAACAGCGGTGGCTTTGGACCACCCGTAGCCCCAAGGATCTGAACCCCCGAGTCATGAACGGATTCAAAGGGATGGTCAACCGACCCCATGGTGACTGGCTGCCCAGGTTCGAACCTGGGTCCGACCGTCCGACCGTCCTCTGCTGCGCGGCGCTCGTCCGGTCCGATTCGTGCTCAGCATCGAGCGCAGGGATGAAACGAGACGTTCTGGAGCACGGCGGGATTTCGCATGGTCAACAGCACCTCTCGGGATCGTCGAGAAGGCGCATTTGAGAAAAGAAGGTCTAGCCTCAAAATGTAAGTGCACTTAGGAAAGGTCATGTAAAGCGCGTCTGCTTGGAACTTCAGATGCCGGGAAAAACTGAGGCAGTGCTATAGTTGCGGCCCTGTGATTTTGGATGATTTTGGGGGGACAAAGAGCGTTCTCGTGTATGTGTCTAATGGCTAGCTTCGTGAAACGAAGCAACAGCACAGACAAGTAAAATGCTCTGCTGAAGAACATGCACACTGCACTCAAACATACTCAAACATAACACAACAAGAACTTATTATATACACAAAACCGTCCTGTCTTCGTGGCCCGTTCAAGGGAGAAAAGAAGTGCGAAAATAACGAAACTATACGAAACTGATGACTGGACGGACGTGGGTGAAATAGTGACATGATAATACACCGAGGACCTACTATGAAGCCAAACACCTTTTTATGACACTAACGACAATGATGCTGTGAAACCGAGGACAGTGCTTCGGAGCCGATGACAATGCAGTGACACCGATGACAAAGTCATGAAACCGATGACAATGTTATTCAGCCGATGAGAATGCTGTGAAGCCAATTGTGCTCTGCCTACCCCCACCTCACTCATGACTCATGATGTAGGCAATGTGTGGTCACTTGTGACCACAATTGCTTGTTTCATTGGCTGGGTTGCACCGGCAAGTACTTCGAGGATCTTCGAGGCTTTGGAGAGTAACTTTGAGACACAGTGACCCTGGAGCTTGCCATGGATTGAAAATAGGTTTATTTTCTGAAAAAAATATGAATCTGATGAATTCCTGAAATATGAAATGAGAAAACCCAATTTTAGCGAATATAAAAAAATATGAAAATAATGCAACTAGAAAAAGACAGGATCCCCTCAAGGAACATTTCAGGAATTCTTCAAATCAACCATTTTTCAATCTTTGGCAAGCTCCAGGCTGATTTTCATATTTTTTTTCATATTATTTTCATATTTTTTTGCTTTTTTTTTGCATTTGTTTGTGTATTCTGTCCACTTTTTTTCCATATTATTTTCATATTGAAAAAAGCGACCATATTTTTTTCATATTTTCAGAATCATATTTTTTCATATTTTTTTCAGAAAAAAACCTAAAGCCAAGAATCCCTATCCTCCAGGGATACGTATGTCTCAAGAGTAACTTGGATCGGCAAGACATATGGTCACATGACTGGTGATATGTGGTAGCTGCTTAGCTTGCGCGTATGTCCTCAATACCAATGAACCCTTCTTCCCGGTGGCTTGCCACCTTTCAGACTCCGAACAGCGCGTCTTCGGTTTGCGAGACTGAAGGTGTCATAAAAGACATGACAAAAAGCAGGAGCATCTATGAAGCACATGAAAAAGCAGCCAATTCCCCATGCCCTCGAAAGCAGTGCTGCCAAAAACTGCACTCTATGTCTTCCGTCTGATCTATCCGAATCTATCCTTTCATGTCAACACCAGTCTCAGGACATCTCTAGATTCAGATCCATTCTTTATAGTTGTCCATTTCGTTTTGAAGGGGCTTCTCATCCAGCTACAATCATGTCGATCGCGGAAACCACAAGGCGCCTCTGGTACTCCACTGAGCTTGCTGTTAATCAAAACTTCGCCATTGACACCGCCAGAAATCTCGGCGCGATCGGGAGACGCTGAGAGTCTGCGAACGGTGACCAAATATGCACGGGTGTGTATTTTAAAAACGCGACACCCAACCAATGTATTTTAGTCTATATAGAGTCTATTCTATTCTATCTTCCTTCTTCCAGGTGTTTGGGGGGATCTCCCTATTTTAATACACACCCGTCAGGACATGTAAATATTCCGATCGATTCCTCAGAACATTTAGACACACCAAGACTTTGACGAGGGTCCAGTGATGTTCGTTCAAGCTTTGGTCGATAGACGATAGATGACGTGAGATACGTGAGATTGAATGTGGGTCAAAACACGGGGGACATTGACCAGCGAACATGAACAGAATAGAACCTACCAGGGAGATCAACCTGTTTGGACCAGGTTTTGACCCACAGCCATATGAATGTGGTCGGTCCTTCTTGATCACTCGCACTTCATCAGAGTTCTCCCATTTGCACTCAGTTTCAGGCCATGTTCCCCGTGCTGTTGCAAATGCAGCTGATTGTTTCCACAATGTCCACGTAGACCTCGCTTTGGAAAAACAAAACAGGTTGGACAAAATGGAATGAATGGTTCTTCCAAACAAAGCGATGCATAGTGATGCTTCACCTCACCTCGTTTGAGCCATACACAACATTCTGCCGCCGCCACCACACCTGCAGGGACGCCAAACCAACGTGGACTTCACAACGGCACCGTCCTTTGTCGTCTTCACAGATCGCAGCACCGCTGGCCAGGCTTAGGAAGACGACAGAAGACAAGGCTCGACAGGGCCGTGACAGGGCTTGTCACACCTCCCAACCTACTAGTGATGGCCTCCAAACTCTCTTGACATCTCTTGACCCTTCTGAAATAAACAGTTCAATGACCTACAAACTGGACGGCATGGCCCCAAAAGGATGAGCATTGCTTTTCCGAATACCAAACAGATGGTTTTCCATGGTTTTCCACTTCCATGTTAGTGACTTGGAGAGTATAGGAGTAAACATTCAAGAAGCACCTGTGTCTTCACTGGATTGAATTTTCAACTGCCTTGAGACGAGAAGTGAACGTGCTTTGCCTCCGCCGAGGCCCCGCCAATATTGCTGTGCCTTGAGAGAGTGAGAGTTATGGAACAAATATCAGCCAGGAGACAAAGCCACCAGAACAAACAGAACTCTGTCTACCAGCAGCTGGAATCAAGAACAGGAGAAATTCAATCTAGCAGAAATTGGTGGTGGGCTATCATGCTCACAAAACAACGTTGGCCTTTCACGGCAACTGCGTTCCCTTTTGCTCTTTTGTTGCTGCATTTTGCTTTATAGCTGTTGTGGAATCTTCCTGCTTTCTCCGGAATCTGGCAGTGCAATGTCATCGCAACAATTCAACCGCAGCCATGTCCGCCTGAGTTTAGTACACTCCTTTTGAACATATCTCAATCTCTTTCTCCTTTCCTGTCTTTCCTCTCTAAGCCAAATGCATCCAAGCTGCGACATGGCCCCCAAGGCAGAGGTAAGGGCACCAAAGGCCCCACCCTGCCGAAGGTCAAAGCAACACCTCCTGTTAAATCCTATGAGCAAAATCTACTGTCGAAGAAAAATGGTCTAGGAATAGACCATCTATTTGCAACAAATAACAAGTGGAAATTGAAACGAATGTCCAGTGTTTCCAGATGATCCAGCTTTTTTGCTGGTGCTTTTCACATGGAATCATGGATTGACTCCGAGCCTGTCCAGCAGATTCCAGCGGAACGTCGGACAGCACTTGCGTGCTGCTTCCAGAAACAGCCTGCTCGCAATCTGACGCCCAAAGAAACCCATGTCGCACTCAATACTTGGCTTTCAGCTGACTTGATATTAGGCATGGCTAAACTATAGGGTACACCTTGTCAACCCTACGAAAAAATTTGGGCAAAAATGCCCAGTCATCTTACGTTTGAGACATACCCGATCATATCTGTACATCTGCCAATGCCCACAAAGGCTCTCCATTGTTGACAAGTGTGGCATATATGTAAGTCGCGAGTGGATCGAAAGGACCATCAACAGGGCGTTTCGGCACACATCCGTCTGCACTCTTCGGTGCCAGAAACTGCTCTGACATGTCCTGCAGCTAGAGCAGCTAGAGCCTCGCTGCTTCATGATACCCAGCGTGAAACACTTGTTAATGCTGGAAACCATTGGAAACCTGATGGTTTTTGGCAGGATCACAAATGCATCGGAACGCCTGCACCACTTTCCCGATGGCTGAAGGAGGCGCAATGATGGACTGGACAGGGCTTTTCTCAAATAGACATGCAAATGTGAGCAAAGTATAAAAAGGTTGGTAAATATTATATACATATATGTGTTTACATATATATTCTTTCGGAGAAGATGGCACACAACCCCCAAGAGGTGGTTTCATGAATCCCCATAAATATCATTTTAAGACACGTTTAGAAGATTGCCATCCGCTCTGCATCACTCTGAAACAACATTATAGTTAATGAAACATAAAAGCAACATGAATTGAAAAATCGGCTAAGCAAACGGTATCAGTCTCCTTTGCTTTCAAAAACATTCTTGCATATGTTTGTATCTTTTTGTTTACTAAGCTCCACCGAGGAAAAAGTAGTTCCGTTTCGATTCCAATCGACTGTCCAGACTCCTCCAATCGATTCATTTCCGTCGTGAAGGGCAGGCCGCTGTCGATCATTTCGTCGAGCAGTAAGTACCTCGAAAGGGGTAGCAAAAGGATCAGCTTGTGATGGCTCCCATGTGCGTGATGGTCAGCAACATGCCTACTTCAGCAGACATGTGCGGATAAATATCCGAATAGGTCCTTTCTTGTCTCTCGATAAAGGTTGTTCCAAAGAAGCAACTAAAACAAGTCGGTTTCTGCTTGCCTTTTCAGCTTTCCCGGCTATGTTGCAGCTAAGTGACACGGTCGAAAAGTTCTGCCGAAGTGAATCCTCACTGACCTCGCCCAGGTATCTTAGAAGCACCTGCCACCCAATCAAAGGTCATTGTCAAGAACTGGTATTCAGCCATAAAAACAACATACAACGCCACAAAAATCTGGCGACCAGAATGAAGCGACCAGATTGGCAATCAGCCAAATCAGCTTGAAGGAACTGCCCCATCCCCAATCCTTCTTGCTTGGCTTTCTCCGGCTTTCTGCCACCTTGTCGGTGAGACGGGGAACGGTTTTCCGCACGCGACCGCGACCGCGACCGCGACCGCGCGCCTGGTAGATCCGGTCGAGCAGTTCAAAGACCGCCAGCGGAGGCTCCTGGAATCCACCGCAGAACTGGAGTTCGTTGAAGCAACTGACTAAGCTGGTTGGAACATGTTGGACCTGTGATGCCGCACGGGTACAACATGTGCACGCCTCATGCGAGACAACTGCCAAGAAGAGCATCTTGTCCTGGGCCCGGCCATCAAATAAGTTGAACAACGCTAATCCCCGTTGAGGTATCTGCTGCTGTCTGAGTGCATCGCGAGCCACTACTGAAACTGACTAGCAGCTAGCAAAATTCAGCTCTCCGCAACGGACCCTTTGTGCGGCTTGCGAACTCTGACTCTACGCAGCATACGCAGCATCTCCACAGAGCGAGAAATCGTGGTCATGTGGGTTGCCGCATTGGCATCGAATGAAATGACCAGACTGAGTTCTGAGATCTCTCACTGAGGTTCTGGTGATTTCTCAGCCAACACATGGCCATTGTGGCTGTTGGGCAGAGGAGTTGCCCACCCTGCTCAAAGCTCCAAGCCAGGCATACTGGAGGCATACGATAGTCCATCTCCCATGGGTGGCGCTGCCTCCGCAAAAACATGGAAGAACACCATGCATGGAAAGAGCAAAAAGATGCAAGCAGGATGTGTTCAGCTCATTGAAACTTGTTTTGTGAAGAACTCCAGGTAACATCATGCAACTGCGGAAAGCGAAAGCCCGGCCAAGTATGGGAACATCCATTTGAGGCTCCACAGGCTATTTGGACCTCAGTTCAAAGGTAGACCTGCAAGAGTGCTTTAAACTAATCTCCGATCCCCCTTTCCAGTGTGTTTCCATGGTACGAAGACCCATGAATATCTATGGCATGAAGGAAAAAATGCCTTTCCACTGCTGGCAGTTGCAAGGTCTTGGGCCTTCCACTGCTTCACTACGTGAGGTAGATGTTGTTCATGTCACTGAGGCTTCTGCCAAAGACTTCTTGGCAGTTGCGACTGCGACCGATGTCATACGGGTTTCGGAAGAACCTAAGGGGGCACCGATGCTCGATGTCAGAGTGCACTCGTGCACGCACTCACCAACAAAGGCACGGCACGCACAAATGGACCCAAATTGAAATCAAGTATGGATCGTGAGTTCACAAGTCCATAGGAAGAGCCACAAATGATGTAAATATAACTTATAGGAACTGTTTTTGTTTTCGGACTTGCGAAAGCACCAGGTCTGGACATATCGCCGCAGTGAGAGCGCTTTTTGGGGTGCATGAAGTCACCAAGGGAGTCACGAGCGATGCTTCTCAGCACAAGTGGCTCGCCGTTCTTCCGACACTGACGTCTCCGAACCATGTTCAGCTGGAACTCGATGGTGGTTTGGTTGGTGAGGATCTGCAGCAAACGTTTTGCATCGTCCAATGTCGGAACATCAACACAGCCCGGAGGAGGATTGGACAACTGAGGCCAAGACCAAGTAGAAGTGAAAGCCACCAAGCATACAAAGGGCCACAAAGATTGAAACACAAATCCTTGGCATCACAAGTAGGTATTGCTTGCAAGCAAACACAAGGCAGCATGGGCTGCTTCGAAATTCCTTTGTTTTCTGCACGTTCTTTTCCCATGTCTGTGAAGTGGTTAAGTTGTGTTGAGCTGAGGAAAGCGGTCAGCCCCACGTGATGTCTACATGCATACGTTGATCCAAGGCGCATGAAAGACATCAGGACGCAGTTTCGAAATGCTCGGGTTCCTCTCCGCCCAAAGGCGAAAATGATATCGTAGAAGAAAAAGCCAAAGACCTTTGAGACGAACATGGGAGCGTTCATCCCACGTTTGATGAAGCCAAGAATATATCGTTCATCCATGTTCATCCCACTAAAAAGGGATCGTTCATCCCACTATACAAAATGGGATCGTATGATGCACACACGATCCAATACGATCCAAAGTCCGAAGTCGATGGGACAACTCCAGTCTGGGGCGCTGGCCGCGATAATGAAGAGACAAGCGAGTCCAAGGAAAAGCAGAAAGAGGAAGAAGAATCTGTAGTTGCCAATACCTTCCAGTTGCTGTCATGCCGAATCCAATAAGTGACTCTAAGGTTCCACAAAATCGAGGGGTGTAGCTGCCAAAGATCCAGCAAACTGCTGTTGTTGGCTTGTTGGCTTATTGGCCTGTTGGACCCCACCAGATGCTGGTCGAGCCACCAACACAATTGTTGATCCACCTCAGTGTCAAAGACCATCTCAGCTCCCGCCAAAAGCGGCTCATTCAGACAATCTGAGTGTGCCTAATTCACAATCTACCCGTGAAACTAGATTGGGATAGAGGATCGATTTTAAGAGAAAGTCTCAAGACACCTCAGAATCACAATAATACTTGCCAACAGGATTCGGACAATGATGATCCATCTTCATAATGCACACCCCACACACACTGCAGTGATGAGCGCGAGGAGGCTTCAGCAGTCCACACTTGGTACATTGCCTACAGCCACAGCAAGTGTCACAAAGACTATGTACTCAAAATGGAAAAAAGTAACATCTAAAACAAATAGTCAATGTATGTCCATGTAGTAACTAACATGACAAAACGTGTCTTTGATCGATAGGCCTGGATAGGTCTCATCATGTAAACCATTCCCTTTCGATGACACCGGGGAAACCGGAAACGAAGACCTCAGATCTCGATCCCGCCATTGGCCCAGGCCTCATTCGATACGGCCCCTGGCCTCGCGGGGATCTGCTTCTCGGTGATGTTCATCAACTCCGGTTGCTCCTGAACATCGCAAACCATCCACGGCGTTTTTTCACGAGATCCAGTGGCAAAAATACCTTTGGATGGGGAGAATGAACTCCATTTCCGGACATCGTCCTTGAATGTGGGACCCGGCCCAGCATGGTGTTTGGTGATTAATGCATGCTAGTGCTACTCCAGCTGTGGATGGGGTCTCCACTTCTTTTGCAAGAAACCAATTCACTGTATCATTTCTGCCCATCACCTGTCCCTTGCATGTGGTTGACCGGTCGCCTTCTCGTAGGGCGGAGGAATTCCTCCCGGTGTCAAAATCGCCTGGATGCAGCGACTTAGCGGCGATGCTGCTCCATATTCCGGTGACAGGCCGTATGACATCGAAGGTGAGAATGGTGCTGGTTGAGACTCTCAGCTGTTTGCTGTCTCGAGAGACAGCAAACACCCGAGACAGAAATAGAGTTTACTCTGGGGCCTCTACTCGTCAACAAACCACTCCTTACTATCGGGATCTATCAGGTGTTTCCTCCACACGGGTGTGTCTCAATGTGCCCTACCACCAAATTTTGCCAAAGGCCTCTGCCGCCAAAATTGCCCAAACACCCAGAATATCCCAGAATAAACTATAGTCTACATGCAAATTTACAATTACGTTACAAATTCAGTCTCGCCTTCGTGTAGTTGTACAACCTCGACAACCACAGCAACGACTCGGTTTCTATGCTCTGCATGCCAACATGCCTAGATAGCCTTAAACAAAGACTGCCAAAAGCAGTTTGCTTGAACAATGAATTATCCAAGCAACTTGAAGTGATTTATGAACATAAATTGTGAGCGTGACAGAATTAGCACAGCAAAACGTTCATGCTGACCAAGAAGCGCATTGGCGAGGAGGAACACACCAAGAATGGATAAAGCGATAGATGCCGGCCATCCAGCTTCTAAAGAGATTGGTTCCAACCCATGCCAAAAGAATGCATAGGTGACAAAACCTGCGCTCCAGGGCAAATCAAAAAGAAGGCAGAATGAAGCCCATCTGAATCGCTGATGAGCAAGCCGCGCATGGTTGCACAAGCATTACTCCAAGGGGTGCAAACATACACCAACCTATATATCACCAACCTACTCGGTCACACAAAACTTCGACATCGCTGGCCGTGCCTTGTAAGCAAAAGGCCAGGATCACCAAGCAAGGGCCAATGATGCGCATGGCCACATGGAAAATACTGGCACCGGTCAAGCTCAGTTTCGCTCGTCGACTCGCTCCGTGATCGTCGACCCAACCACTGAAAGCTTCATCTGAAAGGATTCTCAGGTTTTAAGACATTCACCACAAGCTTCAGTTTGGTCTGCTTCCAAAGATTGACCTATTTAGAATCGCTGTCAGGTTCCTGATCAATTGATATTAATATCATAGTGTATATATTTACTGCATTTCGATGCTCAGGTGCATGGTGTCAGGGGCATGTCTCCAAGATCAGCCCTCTTCGGTGACTGCTGCACGTCGTTGCTATCGTAAAGCATGCCGCTACATCATGCTACCTTGCCATATCTATATATATCTAATTACTATTATCTACCCATCCCCGCAAATCGCGCTTTCAAACCCGCCCAACCCAACCCAAAACCCGCGATGCACCAGCCAATCGCTCCCACCAGGCAATGGCTCCCGCCTTTGTCCAAGGCGCACAACGCTGTCCACCAAGCGCACAATGTCACGGCTTGCCTTGGCAGAGCTCGAGGAAACGTGCCTTCCCTGAACCACAGAGCTCGAGGTGAATCGGTTCCGGGTTTATCCCCGATGAATGATGCCGACCTTAAAGGGTCTGTATACATTTAACCTGACTAAGCGAAGAAACTGACGTGGCAGACTTGGGATGGGTTGAAAAGTCCGACTGCTTAGGAGGGGTTGATGTAGAGTGTGCTCATCCATATTCAATGATGTTCTCCCTTGACATTGGAGGCCAGGAAGACATCATGATTGTAGGCCCAAACACTTTTTCATGTTTTTTTCAGTCGACACAGCGGGTGTTTCATTTCTAGTCTATTGTGTTTGCTGGTGGTGCATCTGTGTTTCTTGAATTCCAGATCACACCCTTAGAGTTCACAAGACAACTCTGTCCAGGTTGCCCTGTGGAAGGCTACGCCAGTGGCACTGCGATGCTCTCGGTGACCCTCTTCTTGGTCGGAAGCCAGTTGGTTCTCAGACGCCTTGGGCATCGCAGAATCCTCGATCCTTGAACATTGGAAGAATGAACCTTATGTAGTACCCCCCTTATAATCCCTTATATATCTTATATGAAGAGGTTCTACAATCCGAATGGGGGGGGCTGATTAATCACGAGATATCAAGTATCACGGGTCTACGTTAATATAGACAGTTGATTTGTTCAATCCCACCATTTCTTCAGAATTGTTTTACAATGTGTTACAATAATATGTTACAATACTTTACATATCCATATGAAAGTGTGTCTGATTCGTTAACCGTCTACATGAAAGGACCGTCGTCCACCTGTGGTGTGGTGTTTCACACACTGTTGGGGACGACACCGTCAAAGCATTGGTCTGATCAATAAATCATATCCCGTCGTCATCCATTGCTCTATTCATCAATGGGTATCGATGCATCCCGGAGATGCTACTGTATTTTACTGTATTTCCCTTTCTTTGCAAATTCTCTCAATGAGCTACCGACAAGTTTGGTGCATCCGACTTACAGTCGATTTATACTAGTCTGCTAAAAGTTCTGCTGATTGGACAGTTGGACAATCGAATCGCTTCATAAACATCCTCCGCTGGTGTTCGATCCGCGTATGTGTGTGTGTGTGTGTTCACCAAGCCACGGCCTCTCCCACGACTTTCCGCCGCGGTTCCCCTCTCATGGGATTCATGCACCAGGTCGGCTGTCCCAGGAAGGAGTGTGTGTTGGCCACAAAGATAGGGGTACGTTGCTGTTAACTCATTTCCAGATATCAAGTACTGCAACGTAGAAAATCCCATGACTACCTAGACTAGGTGACCATAAGTTTCTTGGATGCCTGCTGCCTGCTGCTTGCTTTCTCTTGGCTTGGGTTTTACGTCCGCCCAAATAGAAGCATCAGAGTCCCAATTCGCATTTAAGTCTTGCAGCTCCAAACAAGAGAGCCTCTTGCTGTTTCATGTCGGCCCTCGTTTGATCATGGTAGTCCATGTGCTTTTGCAGCCAAAGCAGCTGCAGGCAACTCTCTCGGATTCTGAAGGTGCAGGGGAACTAGATTCTTCGATTCTGGCCAATGTGGTTTCCTCCAATTCTATCCAATTCTACTGTTTGGCACTTTCCCAACCAAAGTGTCAAACACACATACGTGAGGACAAAAACACTTGCAAATGACCGTCAGTGGTCTTCCTTGAAAACATCCTTCAACGACCTTTCGGGAACACGTCCGGAGAGAAAACGTTGGACGGGAACGTCGACGTCACCGACGTCTCGGTCAGAGATCGCACGCACAGCACGACCGTGATCGGACTGCAGTCGGTCTGGGTCCCCATGCCCGAACCACGTGGATGAGGACGTGCTTTCTGTTCGCACTGAAGACCTGTGAAGTGTAAGCCACTAGCTCAGTCGGGCTTGGTGGTCCTTCTGAACCCACGAGTCACTCAGCCACAGGTCACTAGAGAATCTCAAATGTTGTAAGACATTGGATGCGTACAAAGGTCACGACATCAAGAAACGCAATCGAGAAAGCTTTACATATTGTTGAAGTTCTACCCTGATGGTGTATGTCCGACCTCCACTGCTACGGACTGCTATGGAAGGCGATGAACAATGATTCATAGAGAAGAAGAGCTGGTGAAGACAGAAAGCTGCCAGAGAACACCCTCTCTTATCATTATCTCTCATCTGAGGCTGCTGCTGGGGGCAGTGCATCTGGCTTCTCTCCAGCGCAAAGCTTGGCGACCAAAGGCTCACCTTTGGCTCATCTATGCTGATTTTTAGGGAAACTGAACTTACTAGCTTCTTGCTACTAGTAGTGATGGCCTCCAACCTAGTAGCGATGGCCTCCAACCTAAGACCACAATATTGAAGGCTTGCATCGCAACCAGTCTTATCCTATCTGTGTTGCCATACCATCTTGGCTTTCACCGAATGCCTCATCGTTCCGTCTGGTCAATTCCAACGTCCAGCGTCTTCGCTTACTGGTGCCGAGGTGGAGACATACCAGGCGCGGCGTGTGTCCACAGAAGTGCCTCGCTTCGCATGGCAAGCCATTTCGCTCCGCCAGGTTCAACAGGTGAACGGGCAAACTGGTTCAACAGGTGAAGGGCCCGAAGTCTGGCCTTTCAACTATGTAGCTCCCAGAAGTGGTGACAAAGAAGAGGCTGTCGATCATTACCTTGGCGCGAGCATTGACTCGGTCTTCTTGACTGAAGTCCCTCGCACTGCCGAGGCCCGGGCCGAATAAATGCATGGATCGACCAACTGGAAGTCCAAAGCTGGGTTTGGGGTGCTTTCTCACATTGACTACATCGATACTTGCTTTAGTCTTATCTCTCTAAATCTTGGTTGTGGGCTCCCAGCGATTAAAAGAGCGTATCTACTGTGTTTGACGTTCCCTTCATCTAGGAGGATTGCCAAGTTTGCAGCACGTGCAGAACCTGTTCTTGTTCTTGTTGCATGACTGAGTCTAAGCCTTCGTAGAACTTCATAGGAAATAGCTGGCGGTTATCTGCAGCGCGTGCTCCATCCATCTTTGCTCATCTGACAAAGACCAGTACGTACTACATGCCATATGTCCAGCAAACACCATACAAGTGAGACTCTCTCCTGAGCGAAGTCCTGGTCCATGAATGATTTGCATGTGCTGCAAGCTCAAGCGTGGAAAACACGCAGCATGTGCTTCTCAGTCTGCTTTTTCAAACATTCAATGTGCGTCATTGACATCGATCCACTTGTGGGATTGAACTGTGTGCGATCTGTAACTCCTCCATCGGAGCTGGACTATATCTGCAGCTGTCACAAGGCTCCCAATTATTCAGGATTTAATGACTAGTTTGACTAGATCAAGAGAGCTCCGTATTCATTCGCTCCCTTCATGCCATCAGCATCGCCATTAGGAGGTTTCGACAATGATTTAACCGACCCTTCACTGCAGCGTGCAGCACTTGGAGGGTGCTGCCGAAGGTGGCAAGCCAGCCAAGTGATCGCGAAGCTCCTGGCCCCCACTGCCCCCACCAACACCATGGAGAGAAGTATCATCAAGCTGATGAAACCCTGCAAACAGTGGGATAGAAACGTCTGCAGTTTGTTCCTTCCTCCAACATGATCAAGCCCGCAAGTCAGAAGCAATAATTAACAAAAATGTCAAAGGCGGGCTCTCACTGGGTGACCCTATGGGTGGCGCACTTCTTGCTACGCCGCAATGCCCTTTGTTACTAGCAATGCACCTTGTTCCTAGGAACTTCTAGCTACGTTAGACGTGCGCAAGTCTCCCAACCTCCAGGAGTCTCTAGATTATAAATTGTAACGAAAAACACACACGACGAGTGGAGCTGCTCCCTACCTTGGGATGTAAAACCTGAAGAGTGTGTCAAACCGCCAAGTTGCGTAGATTGCGAACGTCGTGCGAAAGCGGAAAGACGAGATCAAACAAGGAGGATCAAAACATGGCTTAGGCGGTCCGTGCCACCCTTTTAACACTCCGTCTAAGTCTGAGCTCAAGAGGCGCCCCTGCGGACGAGAACATGAGTACCCCGCACCTGTGGTTCCGTAGACCACTGAGATGTGCTAAGGTTGGTAAAATCGGGCTTCACACAATTCATGAAACACCAATGAAACTCCTCTCAACTTAGCACAGGTTCAGTGCTTTTGGAGTTGAAGAGAAGATATCTGCGATCGCTTATCTTAGATAAGCTGTGGCAAAAAGGTTGGTCCAGGCGTCATCCATCCAAACTTCTGTCATATCTGCAAAATGCAGGCCTTGTTTCTGCTCTTCTTTCTTCTTTTGTGTTCGCAGTCGTTGCATCTTACGAGCAGAAATGAACTCTTCGTTGAACTTCACTATCCAGCTTTTGTTGGTATGAAACAGTTTCATCTCTCTATATGCATCCATGGAAGCTTTTGTGAGAGAATTAGCTAGGTTGAGGTCTGAAGGCACCCACGTAGCAAAACAGTTTGTACCATCTTGTATTCCTTTCTGGACATGAAGTAGGTCTATTGCAGCCTTAGAGTCTGACATTGACATGGCAAGAGATTCATTGCTCACCAGTAGGTCATAGCACCCGCGAGAGTCCATAATCAACAGACTCGTGAACATGGAAGTCAGAGTGTCTGCTTTCCCAAGTCGAAGGGTGTGTCCGTACAGGATTGCAAACATAAGTCTAGTTCTCCAGCCTTTGTCTTCAGCTTCTGCAATTCCTTGAGCTTCTGAGCAGTTCGTCCCTCTGGCAGGACGACGGAGTTTCCAGGATCTCCAATCAATCAAGGTTACAGGCGTTTCATTGCCCTTCAAGATTTCCGGTGAAGAAATTCCAGAAACAAACCCGCCGGTCGAACCACCTGTCGGTCTGTTGTTGTGTCCAGCATCACCCCAATGCAAGAAAACAAGATCTGTGTATTTCAATCTGTTCGTTCTTCCAAAATTGAAATTGTGAAAAACCAGATCTTCCTTTGCAGTCTTACGCATATCCCGAATGATAGAGTTTGCTTCTCTCAAGTTTGCCAGTTTCCCATCCGACAACGTGGAAGAAGCTATGCCAATTCGAGCAGCGTATTGAGGAGCACTCTGCAAAGATCTCCACTGCGCTTTCATCAAAAGCGCTCGAGCTTGCGAAGTTTCCGATGGAGTCATCGGATCTTTGTCACTGCGAGAGCCATCTGATTGAATTGCCACAGGAGACAAAGAGTTGCAAAAATCTTCTTGCGAGACATGGATGGAGTAGGAAGTGAGTTGGCGAATTCGGCATCCGGCATACACAAAATCACCCTTTTTCCAAGGACTCCATTGATACATACCCTTTATCTTTTCTCTCAAAGCAATCCAAAACTTATTCTTGGGATTTCCTGCCATTAGAAAGTCATCTACTTGACTACCAATTCTGGCAAAAACCGACCCTTCGGGATCACGAAAAACCCAAATGCATCGATCCATGGGATGAGGAATCCCACCGAGCTTTTGGAAATTCAAATCTACATCTTGCCAAAAAAATGCGAGGAGCATTGGTAAGGCCATAAATGGCACCCAAGACACGCATCAACTGCCCTGGTTTCAGTCCAAGAGACACTGCAATCTCTGGAACTGCTTTCGTCCACAAGCGCCTATCTTCTTCACAATTAGCAGCTTGCAAAAATGCAGATTTAGCATCGGCAGATTCAATCTCATGTTCATCGAAAGCAAAACACTGAAGGAGAAGGTTTCTCCCTGTGCGTGAAATGGTCGGTGCTGCTGTCTTAAGTTCTGGCTGACCTGTGATTGGATTTCTCTTCACAAGGTCTGGATGTTTAAACCCTAGAAGTACTACCCGAGCTTTAGCTTTACAACTACCGTCTGGCATCACTGAAGTTGGTTTATCTGGAGGCGGAGGTTCAGGAGGTTGAATCGGTTTCCAAGTAAGGACCCATCTCATGGGAATATGGCGTTCAGGATGGCTCAAAGCTTCTTTCAGTTCTTCTTTAGATTGTACTGCGCGAAGTGCCATTGAACCCAAAACTTCAGCGACCTCTCTGGCTTTTGCTTCATCAAACAAAGGAACATGCTCTGGAGACAGTTGCTTGTAGGTAATCCCTACGTTTTTGTTCCCTTCCAAGACTCGCTTCACGTACAAAAACGGATTAGCATCAGCAATCTCTTCCGAAACGTCGAACTCAATCTGGAAGACCCATTGACGGTCCTTCTCGGGTCTCTGGAAGTCGTCCTGGATGAAGGACAGGAAATGAGCTTCATCTTCGCGTTCCTGAGTGATCATTTCATGAAGCTGCACTGTCTCTTGTTTCATCTTGACTTCCTCTTCCAGCAAGTGGATTCTCTCCAAAACCAGTTTCCGCGTCTCTTGATCCAAAAGATGAATGTTCCTCACAGTGTTTTCTGCTGTTTGAACTCCGGGTGAACATTCAACATGTTGTGGATCAGAATCTTCAAAAGTATACATCATTGGACTTTGTTCCAACACTTGGGCTGGAAGCTGCATCAATGGAGGAAGTCCTTCCTGCCTCCGGTTCTGGTTAATCGATACCAATTGTTCCCACCTGGCACGCAGAGCTGACACAGTGTCCAGTCGAGCTTTCTTCCGCTCAGTCTCCTCTGATTGGTATTCAGGATGATCTGGAGAAAAAGGCTCTTTTGAAACATCTGTGAAATTCTTCAGTCGTGAAAGAAGTTCAGTACGAGGTTTCGACAAAATCTCACCAGATCTCAGAATCTCAACCACTGTCTCTTGTTCAGTTGCTGGTCTTAGTTGTTCACGTGCACACCTATACAGTTTTGTTCCACAAAGAACCCAAATGATAGCCTTCCGCTTGTCTTCCAAAATTGTAGGCTCTATCAATGCTATTCGTCCTGGTCCAAAAAATCTTGCTTCTGGATTGTAGTTTTCACCCCGTTTTCGTGCTTTCAATGTCATAGTGCGCCAAATCATCACAAAGTCTCCAACCTGATAATCTATCAAAGGTCGAGGAGCAGAATTCCATAGTCGAGACACAGCTTGACGTGCAGATTCTTCACGGAAAAGTTCACCTGCTCGAGCACGCATGGATTGAAATTCTTTGAAATGTCTAGGACCAAAAAGCTTCTCTCCATTCGCTTGCAACGGGTCATTCTTTCTCTCTAACTCATCGGGGTCATAACCATAGGCCCATTGCACCGGAGAAAAACCAGTAGAACGAACGGTGTGGTTTGCTGCATGTGAAGCTAGTGTGCCAACAATTGAAGGAGCTAGTAGAGGATGTTCTTGTCGTATTCGTTTCATAGTACGCTTGATGGTTCGTACCATAGCTTCCGTCTTCCCATGAATCCAATGTCCTTCCCCTGGAGAAGCTAACATACCGATTCCAGCTGTGTGCATGAATGTAGGGAAATAACCGTTGATGAGGCTTGACTGTGAGTCTACTACCACCCATTCTGGTCGAGGACGATGATGTAGCCAAACATCACAAAACGTGGAAATCAGTTTCTCACCAGAGTCCGTTCCAGTCTGTGAAAATTTTCCAATCCAAAGTGGTGCAACTGCTGTAAAATGCATTGCAAGACATGTCATCAACAGAAAACGTCCCTTAACCCTCTGTGATGGAAAATGTAGTTCGAAGACATCCATGCCCACCATCTGCCAAGGTCTCGGATGTTCTCCAATGGAACGGTGAAGAACTAGTTGATTTCCAGGGAGTACCTCTGAACATTGAGTGCATTGCAGTTTCTTCGCTTCATCCACTAGCCATCCAGGTAGTTTTCGATCTCGAATCAGTCGGGCTAGACTTTGGTTTGAAGGATGACCTGCGGATTTGTGAAGTCGGTGCAAAAGAACTTTACCTTTTTCACGTTCTTCATGAGATACTTCAGGAAGTATGCTGCTACCACCTTGACTGTTTGAAACTGTTGGGTCCTGTTCCAGAGTTTCGTCTTCTGCTGCTTGATCTGTCTCCATTTCCCCATCTTGCGTTTCAGTGTGTGTACGTTTGCGTTCGACCGGATATGCATCTTCCAGATTCTGAAAAGCTTGAAGTGCACGGTCAGGGTGTAGATGAGGATCTTGAGCCTGGTCCATCGTGTGGAGTGATTGTAAAATCTTGGGCTCTGATGCTGAGAATTGCTCGTGCTTCCAAACCTGAACAATTCTCTTCGCAAACTTCACAGGGTAAAAGGCTGTTTTTGCAACTGCATGTGTTCCCAAACCCAAAATACTTTTGTGTGTATGTTGTCCGTCACATGTAACCCCAGCATGTATATGGAAGTGTTGGTCGCTTGTCAGGATCTGCCACGGCTTGTGTAGGTGATTGCCCTCTTCATCCAACAAACCAACCATACAACCATGGACCACTGTTCTGTAAAGAGGTTTGGAAAATGTTGCATTGTACCATTGTTCAAATTGTTCCAATTCACGAAGTCGCCAGCCTTCCGTTGCGTTCTTTGGCCACTCGAAGTAGAAGTCCGTTCCAGAGTCCTGGAGCAGTGCTTGGCGAAAAATCTCCAAGATGTGTCGAAGTTGTTTTCTTGATCTCAAACGCATTCTCCGCAAATTGTTCACTTGTTGCGGTGTCCGTTGGTTGATGTGTTGTATCGATGTCCAAGGAGTGCAACGCAAAGATGCCCAAATTTTTGTCGGACAATCCCTCTTCAGTGCATTGATCGCTTCAGCAACACACTCTGGCTTCTCAAGGTCAAAACCCTCTTCGATTGTCCATCTTTGAGCTTTCAATCCATTGCGAATTACTTCATTGGATAAGGTCGAATTTGGCGAACAACACATCTCCCACAAACTAAACCGTTGCTCTTGAAGCGATCTCAACTGCTGTTCAATGCTAAAAACTGAAGACTTCAAACTAGCTGTCAAATCCCTCAGGACTGCATCCGGTGTGAGCTCGTTGTGCTGCATGTCTTCTTTGCTCTCACTGGGGTGATTGCCAAAGGGATGGAGAAATGAATCTTCCTTCAAGCTCTCTACGGTGATTCTGTCTTCTTCTCGACCTTCTTCTTCATGGGAGTTGGCTGTTCCCACGAATCGTCGTCGCTGGCCAAGTTGTGAATCTCCGGCCCCGGAGTCGGATTGGAGGCGCTGGCTGCTGGATATCCCTTCTCTTTCTCCCTTTTGTCCAAGTCGCCGTGAGTCTTCCCGGGCTTCTTGGCCTTGATGAGCTCTTGGCCCTCGATGTAACGAATCGTCTTCTTCACAAGACGTGAGTCGACATCGTTCTCCTTGAATCCCTCCATACGAAGGTGCTCCATGGCCCGGACGACATTGGAAGGCAGGTCCATGTGAGTGCTCTGACCTGATGCTCCCTTCATTGGAGTGTACTGCATCCGAAGGGCACACTTTTGACATTCCAGCCAAGCTCCGTGAGGGTTGGAGTACTGCTTGGGGTCGTGATTTCCTTTGCATGGCCAAAAGTCCTTGCTCGCACGAGGATCTTGGGTATGGACTCCCATGGTCCGAGTTGGATCCAGCTCTCCCTTCGGCCCCTTTTTGGCTTTCGCCTTCGGCGTCACTTTCGCCGAAGCTGAGGCCAAAGCGCGCTCCACTGCCGCCTGAATCTTGTTCTCCAACTCTTCGGTGTTTGCCATATTGGATCACAGATTCGACAGGCTGACTCAAATCAAAGGTCACTTGCTTTGAGCTTGAAGATGCGCTAGATTGCAAAAATTGCCACTGCTCTGGTGAAACACACAAATGCTCAAACATGGAGTTTGCGAAAATGCCATCCGACTGTTGTGATTCTTGTACCACAAAACATGGCTGTTCTTCAAAATTGGGCTCGAACGAAAAATCTAAAAGGGTCATCAACTGCTGTGACTGCTGTGCCACACGTGCTGATGAACGAGTTCGGTCTGTCCTTAATTCGGCTTTCGGAGATCTGGCTGCAGAATGTTGTTGTCGTTGAACGGGAAGGTCCTTCAAGAAGCTGAAAAGAATCTGTCTCTTGGGAGTCATTCTGAGGTGTCTCATCTCGCCCAAAACAACTGCATGACCATTGGAGAGGTTCACTATCATACACAGTTGTTGCATTTCTCTCATACCCAACAGAACAGGAACACCCGGTGAAGGAAGTGCATACAGTTGTAGGGTTATGGAACCAAAATGGAGCTTCACCTTGTAACTAGCCTGACCCCATGATCCCGAACCATAGCGGAAATATGGCCGATCTTCTGTGACGACTGTCAAGCTAAGGTCTGGCCGCGATTGGGCCAAACTGTGGAGAAGGTTCTTCACAGCTGTCTCGCCACCGGCTGACACCGTTGCACCTGAATCGATGATAGCCTCTTCAGGTCGGATGGCAGCGCGTGAATCCGCTTGGCTCACTGGGAAAAAGGAAAGGTCTGGTGAGAATTCTGCCTTGGGGATCATGTCTGTCATAGTCATCATGTGGTGCTCTTGAGGCTCCATGAACATCCCAGCATGAGAGGAAGGTCTCTGAGACATCTGATTCCTATTCTGAAAGTTTGAACGCCCTGCAAAACGATTCTGTTGCGGTGGACGCCAACCAGAGGAACCGAAAGGACGGTTGCGGTAGCCGCCCTTGCCATGAAACCCATGCCCCTTCTGCTGAAAGAAATTGGTCTGTGACCGATGTCCCTTGCCCTGCATGAACGTGCTGGTGCCCTTCTGGGAACCGTGTGGTGGAGAACCCTTTGAACCTGAGCTCTTCCAGCCACGATCCTTCTTTGCTTCTTGGACTGCACGTCTAGCTTGCTCCAAGTTGCGCTGAGCATCAACCATCATGGCATTCAGCTCTTTCTCTTCTTCTTGAAGCTGTGAAATCACATGCAAAGCTTGGTCCTCGGTCATGGATTCTGGATTCACCTCAGACTCTTCTGCTTGAGGATCATCTGCGGTCTCCTGAAACTCTTCACCATAGTAACCATCCTCAAGGTATTCACCCTCAGGATAGTCATGACTACTGCCCCAATAGTCTTGGTACTGCATGTCCTCACCCTCAAACTCTTCCACTATGTTTGCCATATGTCCTTTGCCCCGTCCAAAACCCTTGGGAGGATTGTTGATCCCTCGCATACCACGGTCTTCGTGGAGTGACAACAAGGCTGATCGAATGTTCTGGTATCCGAGCTTGTTTTGCGTTGCTGCTTTGACCAGACTCTTGTCCAGTTCAGTGGCGCTCGCACACTCCAACAAAAGCCAGCCTCGAATAATGTCTAAGGCCGCGAGCGGGATCAAGCCTTTCTGCATCAACCTCTCAATCAAGTCAAGGCGCTTGGAAGGTTTCTCAGGACTTGAACCGATTGGCATAGTGTGGTGAGATTCGGACTGCGATCGGGACAGTGGCGGCTGTGGCAGGTCTTCATCTTCTGCTTCTGCATTTGGTTCACGGTTTCCAGCGAAACGAGATGGATGAGTGCTCCCACTCCCGCTCCCGGAACCCTGAGAAAAGGCCCCGTGAGTTGACTCATGCTCAAACTCCCCTGGGACATAGAAACTCTTGTCCGCCATGCCGCAAAAATCTTTCAATTCATCTAGAGAGCAATCATACTGGTCGAAATCCAATTCCTTTTCCCGAAGCAACCTTTGAAGGGCTCGCCACATGGAGTCATACAGCGTTTCTTCCCTAACCAAAAACTGAGGAATGGTTTCCTGTGGCTTCCTACTGAGTCGCCTGTAATAGGCGGACAACTGCCGCCCAGCATCCGGAATTGGCTGCCGGTTCATTGGCGAAGCCTCCAAAAATGATATCAGACGAGTCACAGCATCTTCGGTGGTGAAGTCCGCTGGGTCCAGCCCGTAGGCCAAGGACTTGAGGGAAGGATAATCGCTCTCCAAGATGCGACGAACTAATCTTGCTGCTGCATACGGTCTTTCTGAGGATTTCGTTCCAGCTAAATGCCATTTGATCTCTGTGATGTAATGAAAAAAGGTTTCAGGTCGGCCATCCCAACTAGGAACCCTGTTGAAGGAGGATCCCTGACCAACATCTTTGGACATCTCTCTGAGAAGCCTCGAGGGGACAAACCAAAAAGGAAAAACTGGCCCTGAACGTACAAGGCTCCGCGGCACCAATGTGTCAAACCGCCAAGTTGCGTAGATTGCGAACGTCGTGCGAAAGCGGAAAGACGAGATCAAACAAGGAGGATCAAAACATGGCTTAGGCGGTCCGTGCCACCCTTTTAACACTCCGTCTAAGTCTGAGCTCAAGAGGCGCCCCTGCGGACGAGAACATGAGTACCCCGCACCTGTGGTTCCGTAGACCACTGAGATGTGCTAAGGTTGGTAAAATCGGGCTTCACACAATTCATGAAACAAAGAGTATGAGATGGGATGGATGGCAATTGCAAAAAAATCTCACCGGAAGCCTGAAGCAGGCTGTGAAAAATGATGTACAACAAGTCAGAGACTGTAGACTACCAGTCAAGTTTGCTCCTAGTCAAGTAGACAAATAGATCAGATAGACACAAAATGACACGCATAGCACACCAAACGCAGTAATTTTTCGAGAGTTGACAAACCGCGTCGACAAGACCGTAGAAGTGACAAATCTGCCTCAGTGAGGTGCACACGGTTCCGGCATTCCGAGCGTCCGAAACAGACGCGTCATTGGCATCTCCTCTCTTTCGATCTGAAGGTTGCGACGCTCAAGCATAGCAGCCTGCCCAACATCATTCTGGATCAGTTGGCACAGCTGTCACAGTATCAGCTTTTGCGGTGTGGTCTTCTTGTGGTTTGCGGTGTGGTCTTCGTGAATGTAAAAAGCTAGGAGTTCTCAAAGATCCGACGCCAAACCCCGAAACACTGCAGCTACACTTAGGAGTTCTCACTCGGCTTCTTCGGCAGTCTCTCCAAGCCTCTGCCGAGCTCTCTGCCTTCTGAGCAGCAAGCAAAGCTGCCTGCTGGGTATGTGGAAAGAACATTTTAGATGTGGAGGCTCGGCAAAGAATCAACACCTATACCCCAGACACTCCATGTATGCCATATATGCCTACATTGGGGTGGTTTTGGGGGTCAATGTAGGCATATATGGCAGTCCCATAGAGTGTCTGGGTACTAAAGATTCTGAACTGAGTTCGATAGATCTCTGTGGAACCAAACCCTCAAACTACACGAAAGCCGACTTGAACTTGAACTCGACTTTCAATACTTTGTTGCTCATCTTTTTGGAGCATACTAGAACCATTGATTCTAGTCGTAACAAGTGCCTCGCTAGTAGTAACAGGTGCCTTACTAGTAACAATGTTTGCTATTAGAAACAATAAGCTTCTAGTAACAAGTACCATTGATTTTCGCTGTTCGGAATCCGAAACTCTCACCTCTGTCCGACCTTCTTCGTCTTCCGCGACGGTCGGTCAGTCGGTGCCGTCACGGAGTCTGGCTGCGTCGCTCCGGTCTGCGTCTGCGTGCGGTCTGCGTCGCGGGTCACGAAGCGTCGCTCCAGACCTGGAGCTGCTCTTTCAAGTCCTCCAACTCACTTTTGCACCTCGACTCTCCCAAGGCACGAGGTGCAAGCGTCGGCTGACAAAGCTTCCCGTTTTGTTGAGCCCACAAACAGGCTGAACAGAGCCCTGAACAGCCCAAAGAGCACCGAGGATTCTGAAGGACCAAGATTCGCAGCAAATATGGTGTGCTCATCATTTACAGTATTATAACTTATGACCTGAAACTGGAGCTGGTTCTACTGGTACCATCCCAGCTTCTTCATGTACACATCAGCCCGATGTGTTCGTTTGGGGGGCTCCAATGTGTTCACATCAGCCAATGGCTCCGATGTCACAGCTTCTGACGCTTCTGTCTCTGCCAAGAGTATCACTTCCTTCCGGGGCAGCAATCGTCGGGAGTCGTGGGTGATCCAAAGGCAGAACGCCCCAGTGAGGTATTCTGCACATATCACATATCCGCCATGAACTCGGATAGATCCTTAAGCTTAAATCTGTTTCCATGAAACTCTCTGGTCAACCCTGAGTGAAACGGCAAAAGGCTCAACCGTCCAGCCTTGCGACGCAAGAGGGACCTGCATCGTTTTTTGTAATGCATCCCCTGTCGTCTGGCTCAAAATGACGGACCCCCCCTGTGCAACATTTATATAATTTATATACCTCCTGCCAAGACATGGCTGGTCTGCTGGGGGGGTTGAGAAACTATATGAAGCTTTCATTTGAGACGAATTGAAGAAAGGATTGACGAGCCCATGCGCTTTCTGTTAGCATTGCCAGCACTTTCTGTTAGCCTCACACTCTTAAGCTTAGCTCCCCAACGCTTCTTCTTGAAAGTCACTGCCTGGGCTTTGAGAGCTCCAAAGTCCATGCGTCACTCATGTTGAAATCACACTGCTCCCAAAATACCACATCTGAAATCTGAACGGGTAGTTGGGCGTACAGGTAAAAGAAGAAAGATTGTACATAGAGAGACACCCATGTAGTAATAGTACTGGCCTGCAACCTAATAGCAATGGCCTCCACCCCAAAAGCGATGGCCTCCAATTACTAGCGATGGACTCCAAAGAATTACAAATGGTCCCCCACGTTTCGGCTCATTTAGCTCCAGACATCTGCTGTGAAGTGCATTGGCAGCAGACTGAGCCTCTGTTTGCAGAACGCTGCGAACATTCATTCAAAAATATTCTATCCGCACGTAGCATGTTAGGGCTGGTGTTGTAGGCTGCGGAAACTCTGCAATGGACATCTTCTTGTACTGACCCTGGCAACTCGTGGGCTGATGAATGAGACTTGGTTCACTCGTGGGCTGATGAATCAGAACAGGACAAACAAAGGGACACATGTCAAGCGCGTGCCAAGTCCAGACCTTTTGCACTACCCCGAAAAACAGCATGACATAGGTTTCGCCTGCGCCAACTCTGCCCTGCAAGTCTTTTGCTCTTCCAAGCGCACGCGTGAAGCCTTGGCCTGAAGCAATACGAATGGCAATTATCCAAGGTCTCTTCCCAAACAGCAAAGATTTGACATTCTTTGCAGTGATATTACTCTAGCTTGTTGTTGGCGTTGGAAAAAGTCTCAAGGCTCACAAGAGCAAACAATGGAAGAAATCAAGCCTGGTTGGTTTATGGAATCGGTTTAAGTGCAATAAGGTGTTGTAGAACAGTGAATGGTGCTTGGAAAAAGCAATCAGTCAATCAATCGATCGATCGATTAATCGATCGATCGATCGATCCATGCATCCATCCATCCATCCATCAATCAATCCATCCATCGATCCATCGATCGATCCACCATTATGGACCATTATCTATATATTCTATGTGTCGTTGTTCCAATTTAATCCAATTTATATATTTGTGACATTTGGATGCATTTGGAGGTCCACTCTCCGCCTGTGACACCTCTGTCTCCGTCTCCCCGCAAAGAGAAAAACCGCCGCCTCCGTCTCCGCACTTCGCTGGACTTCGACCAGCTCCGTCTCCAGCTGGGCTTTGGCCGCATAGGCCTAGCGGTTTCGGACGGTTGATCTAAAACCAAGACGAAAAAATAACCGTTCGAAGCGATGGTCTCTAACCCAAGGACTGACTAAAACACTCCATATTATATGTTTCGAAGTGAGTGGAGAAATGAAGCCATTCTGTTTCTAGGTTTTTTAGGCCATCGCTACTGTATCGCCTTCTGATCCAAGTTCTGATGAAATCAAAGTACTTCCGGAAATCCTTTCAGTGGCAAACTGCAAACAATGCAGTTTGCCTAGATCCTGAAACTGCTAGACACATCTCGGAAACGGAGCCACGGGCGGAATCCTCACCTGTTCGAGGCGAGTGCGGAGTGTCGAGCTCTGCTGTTCACTCGTCGCCCGGAGCTCAGCAAGGCCCTGGCGGTTGAGTGAATCAGAATTTGTTTGTAGAGAATCTTAAAGTATAGAAGTAGGTTGGAGGCCATCGCTAGTAGGTTGGAGGCCATCGCTAGTAGGTTGGAGGCCATCGCTAGTAGGTTGGAGGCCATTGCTAGTAGGTTGGAGGCCATTGCTAGTAGGTTGGAGGCCATCGCTAGTAGGTTGGAGGCCATTGCTAGTAGGTTGGAGGCCATCGCTAGTAGGTTGGAGGCCATTGCTAGTAGGTTGGAGGCCATTGCTAGTAGGTTGAGAGAAGCGGGCCCTTTAAAGAGGCCTCTATTGAAGAGACACTTGCCTGTTTGTGGTTTCTGTCTTTTCACTGATCTTCCCGGTCCACTTCGGGCCATGTGTTCTCCCATAAATCCACTTCGGGCGAGTGTCAGTCTCTATATAATGTGTGATCGTATTGTACATATATGTATATAAGTATGTATATATATAATGTCGGAATTCACCATTTCAATCCATTTCACCCAATGATGTTCCTGTTCCCTACTTGCTTCCCCATGCTGCTCGTCTTCACATGCTTTCACATTCTTAACTCCCGCATCTCCGATGTCCCGAGCATCTCCTCTTCACTCACGAAGGCCGAGGTCCGTAGCTCGGCGACCTCCAGGATCGAGGACTGCAGCCGCGCCTCCGTCGGGGCCGTTGAAGCGGCACGGTTTATAGCTCGCGCGCGCCGAGGCGGTCGACTGGTGAGGCTGGTTGAAGCGGTGTTCTTTTTAGGATGAAACATGAAAAGCATGAAGCTATATGACTTGCAAGAATGATCAAGAATTATGATTCAAGAACGCACTATAGACTGATTTATGACTAAAGATGACTAAAGTAGATCCGGATAGAAAGCCTCCCTTGCCTGCCTTCACAGATGGATCGACATAGGAGATATGTGAGAGTAACCGAGTGAAAAATCCGTGAGTCCACCTGTTCAATTTCGACTGAGGAGTCCCCAGTTGCTACAAGTTTCAAATGTTCAGCAATGGCTCACTTCAAAACAGGCATGTCCATCGGCTCTTTTCACCCCGAAATGCCATGAAATGCCTGAGTGGCGACCAAATCTTCTTCATGCTGCTGCACTTTGGCAACGTTGGCCGCAAGTTGGTCCTGACATGCTTGTCACACAAACAGCCAAGAACACATGGTATCTATCCGTCCGTCCGTCTGTATCGGGCGTCATGGCAAAAACTGGGTTCATGCCCATGTCTTGTCGCTTGCTCATATATCATATATCACAAGAGGGAATTGATTGCCTTTTTGGTACTTGAAGGCAGTAGACCTTGTCAGTTCCCCTCAATGGTCGATCGATTTTAAATCCAAGAAAGAGAAGCCGGCCTACAGACAGTAAGTGTCCTTGCTTGGTAGCTCGTCGGTCCGCATAGTTCAGGTCAATGCTTCAGCTGGCTTACCCGATATAGAGTTTCAGAGTGCTTGCACCAGCAGGTCAAAATGGACAAACAGCACACATCAAAAAGTGTCGGAAGCTCCGGTCCTGCAGCTGGCTTAGATCCAAATCACGAGCTGCCTAATTTCCAGCGACCGCAACAACAATCGCGGATCCATATCGTGCAGACGGCTGCAACAGTTGCAGAATCTCACCAAAACCTCCACAAGCTCCACAAGCACAGCTGAAAGAATCAAAAGAGGTCCCTCTTCTTTCGGATCGTCCTTCCTGCGGTGTAGAGTCCACACATGGCAGGGAAGATCATGGAAGAGGACACCTTGCCGCGGCCTGCATTTGCCGCAGTTTCGCTTTCATCGCTTCCTGAAGCGCCGGTTTGGGTGGAATTGTCTGTTTCTCAGTGGTCCTGCGGTCCTGGAAGTGTCACAACCTGCGAGTTCGACTCAAGCGATTGGGCTGGTAGGACCGGTAGTTTCTGGCTCGAGTGAAAGTGGATTTTCGAGTGGCCTGAAGAATACCAGGCAAATGCCAATCCCAAAAGAAGCTGTCACACTCTGTGAGTTGGCTATTTCCTCACAAACGACAGTTGTTCAGTCCTCCAAAGGCCCTCTACTTGGCGCCATGGCTGGCAACGACTCTTCCAGTGCCTTTTCTCGAAGCCCGAAAGAGTCTGTTTTGAAGTCTTCACCACCACCCCGGGGATCTTGATAGGGTCATGAGGACTTTTGTGAGGACTTTGTGAAACCACCCTCACATTGGAATCCATCTGAGATTGAGCTACTATTGAATAGTCGCACTGACACCTACACTCATGTTATGATCTCGAGACTTCTCACGGAGTGCATCAATTTCCGGACCAATGACTCCGTAGAAGAATGGCGAGATCTGTTGTTTTGGCCCGTCATGCGGAATATATTCACCTTGAGACTCACTGCCGGATGCTCTTCAAGTTAATTAAATCGGGCTGCGGAACAAAAGGCATAATTAGTCGCACCTCTCCCGAAGGCTACACGTGAACACGACGAACATACGTGAAATCCAACCTTCAAGGCACACTCAACTACATGTAACTACATGTAACTACAGTTCCATTCCGAATCAACTGCCTGGCTCCCCAACGAATTCTTTGACTGCGGAAAGCAAAGCAATGTTTTGCTGAAAAAATATGTATCTCTCACTGTGCCAGTTGCTGGAAAAGTAGCAATGTGCTACTTGGCAGCCTCAGTGCAATCTCGTTTTGCTCCGCAAACATCCTTGAAGTGAAAAGTTCGGCACTGGAGTCGTTGCATTTGTATGCTACTTGTATAATGGTCTGGCGAAGAAGAAAAGAAGGTCAGGAGCTCCCATATCTCAGCAGTAATTAACTACTTGGTGAAGCAGTGGGTCATGGCCCATGGCTACACTCTCACACCACAATTCTGAGTTCACGAGTCACTCTAAAACAAAAACCTCTCAAGAATGCTTGCCAACTATGGCCGATGAATTTACCGCTTTCTTTATCTGTGGACATAGGCTTGTCGCTTTTGAGGGGGATCCTGCATGCTTTTGCTGGCTTTAGCCCAATTCCTGAGCTTCACGACCGCTCGTCATTGCACGTGCGGCGCTTGCTCACATGTGTTAGACGCTTCCGGTCGACCTCTTCGACGGTCGAGGTTCCGAGTCACTGACGGTTCAGGTCGCGAACAGCCCAAACCGCCGCCAAACACCAGGTGTCAAGCTGTGGCAGTGGATGAGGTGGCAGTTCCCGACCTCCGAACATGGGAATTCCGAAGTGTTCCGCCACATGTTGAAGTATTATGCGTGCAGAGACAAACGCGAGACAGACCTAAGGCTGACCAAACACTTTCCTGTGAACTTCCCGGTGACTATGATCCATGCCATTTTGCGCCATATGAGCGAGCACCAAAACTTGTGTGGGCTATATATATAATTATACACAGGGTCCTCTCATGACTTCTATGCAAAAAATCCTCTCACAAAAACATAGACCCTTTTGGATGTTGCAATTAGGTGGAGGCCATCGCAAGTAGGTTGGAGACCATCGCTAGTAGGTTGGAGGTCATCGCTATTAGGTTCCTTTTTGCTCGTATGAGTTCTTTGTTTCTTCATGTTTCTTCCATCCCGTGGTCGGCCGAAAGCGCCTTGCTTCCCCAGGGTCGGCTGAACGGCCGCCATCCTCTCACTGGGGAAGTTCTGGTCCAGCCTTCGCAGCACAGACGGTCTTTGCGGTTTTTGTTTCGTCTGATGCGGCGCCCGTCGTTCTTTTTGACCCGTCCGGAGTTCTTTCAAAAAATCCGCAAAATTGGAGGTATGACAAGTTTTGCCCCAGTCGTTGAAAGGGTTCACGGTTCCTAATTACTGTTTATCAGATATCTAGACTGAATGATGTGTGCAAACTGCCACAAACAACTACGCTTGCAGTTGCATTTGATCACATTTGACTCAAAGATTTCCAGTTGACTAGAGGAGACACAGGTGAGTTGAACATGGTTTGATTAAAGACTGAGAACAAGTTGGTAAAGCAAGCATGATTCTTTATGTTGGTAAAGCAAGCATGATTCTTTATGTAAATAAACATGCAAATCTAGGAAACAATCAGTCGATGCTTGCATTCGACTGGACAAAGGATGCCGCGGAACAAGTAATTCGACAGTTTGGAAATGGATGGAACATTAATACATGCTCCAGAAAAGAAGAGCCGCTTTCGAATAAATGTTGGTTGAGTTCGGTCCAAATGGCAGCTGCGAGCGAAGTAGCCCTGCAAACTCTGGCTGCAACCTAGGCCAAGGCGACCAAAATACAGGAGGTGAAGTAATCAAACACCAAAAGCATCCAAAAGGACTTGACGTTCCTTGGAAGGTCACAGCTGGTTAAACCTGAGTGATTTCAAATCTCTGAGCCTGCTGCCATCGTGCAGCATCTTTCCTGCGCTGTTTGAACAACATGTTTGACTCACCCAATGTCCGATCTGTTATATCTGTTATCGTGTCCACTCTACCCCCTGATCTGACAAACAAAACCTAATGTCAAACCGCACACAATCCAAGACACTGGCATATCGACTGCAAGCCGCCCTGGCTATGACCACCCCTATCCCCAAACGAGAGGTAGTTGAATATCGCTGAATATGGTCTTTCTAGAATGAGCTGCAACGCGTGACCTGAGTAGTGATGCTGTCGAGCCGTTTCTATCGTAAACCTTCGGAAGTATCACTGGTGACCATGTGCCTTCAAGAATACACTGGAGCATTGGCATGGTGAGTTCGATACACCTGTTGTTCTTGATAATTCATGCGTGAGAAGACATGGCCGGCGTGGAACACCTCCGACATGTATGCACGTACTCAAAGCGCAGTTGTCGCATCCTTGTTTGATGTAGGATGGCAATAATTTGTGATTTTCCCAAAGTTTCATTAAAGTTTCTGCCTTTTAAAAGCAGGGAACAACGCTCCTTAGCAAGCTGCCCTTCGTGTACTCAACCTGTGTTGTATCCGCAAGACCAGGGTATCTAGAGTCTAGACCCCTGCGCAAGCAAAGAGTGGCTCACTTCATTCACTATGGACCTGCAGAGTTGGAATGAATGTGATGCATGCTGTTGCGCGTGTCTGTGTCTGCCATGTTGACACACATCGAGCGAAGGCATCAGCTGGTTGCAGAGCAAGTGACACCCATGATTTCTGAATGTGTTGTGCATGAAGTTCATCATGACAGGCGACAAAAAAAGCTGTGCATATAGGATATGACGAGTGATAATGTTCCATCCAACTAACCATACAGCACTAACGTAATCGATCAATCCTTTACCTCTCTTTATGTGCATTATATGAATTATATATGATATACTGTAATATATTGATGAATCACTAACAAGTCTCCTGCAGCCGCCCCGCTTCGCAAGACAAAACTGAAGGTGGCCTTCTCAGAAGCTGCCTTTCGTGATCATGGATTTGGCATGATTTGCGCACGTACAGTAGATGGCTGTGTCACTGCAAGATTGAAGTGTGCAATACCCCGGCATAAGTCCTGCTTCCCTTCTTCTGAAGTATATTGGCGACACCTTAGCTAAGCCAATCAAGGGGAGAAGCTGGCAGCCGCAAAAACTGCCCGTGGTATTCAGTGCTGTGTTTGAGCTTTATATCTGCCTGTCTGGAATCTGCCGACCCGCCGATGTAAATGTCAAAGGACGCCCTAATAGAATCTAATCAATAATATCCTGCTATAATATCCCTGCGATGGGAAAAGGTCCAGTTTGCTTGCCGCGCCGGACCACACGAAAGCAAATGTTCTATACGATTACAACCCGCTGGAGATCCGCTGGAGAGTGGTCAAGAAGCCTTTTTTCTATTAGAGCTTTGGCCGGCAGGTCCCGGGCTGGCGGAAGGCCGTCTGTTTCGGGTTGAAGCGTGGCATTGGACCCTGGTGATTGTGCAGGCTGGATTTGGACGACTTGGGAACTTTATTGACATAACATGTTCTTGCCCATCGCTCCCGTGCAAGTCTTGGCTGAACCAACACCGGTCTGACCGGGGGGTCGCCGGATCGGTGGCACACCGGTCTGACCGGGAGCGATTTGAGCCCCACGTTGTCACGGGCCAACACCCGACGCCACCAAGGACTTTGACAATAGACAATAGACTTTGACTAGAGCTTCTTTCAAGGCACTTTGCATGGAGAAGAGTTCATTAAAGCCAAAGAAATGCGTGTTCCTGTTTTTGTTTGCAAAGCAGTGTTCGAAAGCAACTCTAGACGAATCTCGTTTGCACCGTTGATACATCCATTTTCTGATGTCAAAACAGGCTTCAAAGGCTTAGCTCTCAACGCAAGTAGCACAGGAGGTACGCCACGTGGTTTGCTCCATGGCCCACGTTCAGACCAGCATCTCCGCCCAAGGGCGTGAAGGCCGGATCTGCTTCCACCAGCGAGTAACGCTGCCACCTCGGTGGAGCGATGTGGAGCGAGTAACAGCGAGGAAGTCGATGAAACCCATTCCACACGTGAAACAAATGAAGGTTGAAAAAGGTGCATCCTCCCTAAGACCCCTTTGTTTGTGTTGAAAAAAAACTACCGGCGCTACATTGGCCCGAAGGAGGTCTTGAGGCTTGCCTCGAGACCTGTGGACATAAACTCGACACTTGTCTGTTTGTCTGTGTTTTTTGTTTCGCTGCTCTACAATCTCTACAAAAAGGGCTCCAAGCCCCAAGTTGGCCTGTGATTCAGGCTGCAGGCAAAACAGGAAGGTGACCACAGGCATGCAAAAGAAGAGACCACAAATCAGAAACTCCCACAGGCCGCACCGACCAAAAAGCACGTTTAGCATCTTCTGGCCAAGAAACAACGAAATGGCGTGTTCGCGAAGATCTGCCGCCGTCTTCTTGAAGGGGTCAAAGTCCTCCACGGTTTGCGCAGCTGAGTGATCACTTCTCACCAGGATCGTTTGATATCCGACCTGGCGGGACCTCAATGCTCTTCATCCCACATGCAAACTGGCCCAAATGACTGATGCAAACTCGAGACACCATACATACATTATATGTCATGTTATAAAGGGTTTTGAAAAGCCCGAATCGCGGCCATCCCAACAGATCAGATCTCTTCACACGGAATTGGCGTCAATGTCTGGGCTTACAGAACTGCCACTCTGCGATAGCTGGACTCATTTCTCCCCCCAACCAGCAGGATTAGGCAACAAACAACCCACTGGCATGCAAAAGCCCATGACTATCAGTGTAGCTCTTTGAAGTGGCTTGCTTGGTGCACCAGCATGTCAAAAAACTGGAGCTGTTCTGGCAAGCCTGGTCGGGTGAGGATTTTATTTATCCTAAAACCAGTCACTGTGGATGATGATGGGTAGTAAAGGATCTTCTCTAAAATAGTGATAATTGTCTACTGACTTGATTGTAACAGGTAATAGGACAGACCCAATTCTTTTTCAAATACAGTATATGTATGTCCAAGTAATGGAATTGGTTCTCCACATCAATGTGTCGAGCACACAAAAAAAGAAAGCAGCTCCCCTGCGGAACCTCTGCATGAAGGCCCAGTGAGACGCTGCAATTCTGCAAGACTCGAACAAAGAAGTGAGAATCTCTCTGGCAGGAGCCTCACCGCCCAGTTTGGGTGCAAAATTTATGGCTTTCGCATGGCTAAACAGCAAACTGTGTTCATCAAAAAGGAAACAGGCATAGTAGCTTCTTGTTACTAGAAGCAAGAATCCTCCGTTCGTAGCGATGCCAGTTTCGCCCCGTTCGTAGCGATGCCCTTTGTTACTAGCGCTGGGTGGTCCAGACACATGTTCTTGCTCTGTGGAACGCGTATGCATGTGGCCTGCCCAAGCTGAGTCTGCAACGAAGAAGGTCCCCGGGTGGAAGGCTACCATTGTCGCGGTGCTGTGCGTACTGGCGTCAATATCAAACGACGGCTTGAAGTTCCCAGGCATGTGTTCTGCCATCATCAGTGTTGAAGAAGTTTGCTAAAGGTGTAATTCAAGCTTGTCAAAGCTGCAAAAACAGCGGAAGACCCGTGCTGAGTGAACACACCCTCATCAAACGCAAAAAAACATCCCACAGCCCTGCCTGTGTCATGCTTTCAGGATGCAGAGCGATTGTCTCAACCAAAGTTGAGGGCCTTATGTCATGTGCCAATCACAGGGTGCTCCAGCAAACTGCAAATCCCAGCTGACCATATCGCAGGCACTCCAAAGTGTCAAGAAGTACAATGCCAACAATGGGTTAAGAATGAGAAGCATTTGTCTGCCTGCTTGACTCCGGACATTTCAAGACTTTGCTGCGAAAGGCATCCAAAGCTGGTCTACCGTGCTAGGATGCCAACAGTTCCAGCACATCTAAGGGTAAATCCTTGGTTTTGTGTCCAGAAACATGAGTTGAAGCTATACTCTCGCAAATCAACACCCGCTGTGCAAAAGAATTCAATTATATAGCTCCATGTTTTTTTTGTCCACAACCCTGAGCGAGACCGACGAGTCGCAGCATTTCTAGTCCGATCTTCCCCGTCGTCCCCACAATTATCACAACGGTGATGGAAGTGATGGTCACATGCGGGATTGTCCTCCAGGACGAACACCAAGAGAAGAAACACCGAGAACGGTCCTAAATTCAACAAAACACCCAAAGGGCAAACTTGAGGGAACAACCGACGAGGCTACCAACAAAACTAGGGGAAAAAAGTCCTGAGTTTCCTTAATCAGAGTTCAGCAGAATCACCCAGTTGCTTTGTTGGTTTGTGCTCATGACCCTGGAGGACGGACAAGAATCCTTCGCAGCCGACAGTTCTCACAGCTAGTTCACTAATTAGCGTTAACCAGTTAACTAGAAGGGAGCATAAATTCTCAGATCCTCAGCTTCACTGCCATATTAGAAGTATGTGCAACATCGATGCCTTTTTGACTATAGTTAATACCTAGATCTCTGTGACTCGCTTTGAAACACTGAGCAGAGCGCGTCAAATTCTTGAGGACTTCCCGTGTGGCACAGAATGTGCACCGCCTTGGCCGACTTCATCGATTCCAGAATATTCATGGAGGAATCCTTTTGGTTCAAGAGTCAGACCTGTTTAAAAACCTCTGTTGACGGTGTCCGTGTCATGTTAGGAAGAGATTTGTTTGGTCTCAATCAAAACTGTTCCATCTTCTCCAAACACAAATTCATATACAAATTCATACGAAGTCTCTCAAAACCTTTCCAAAGTTGCTCAGCAATTGCTCAGGAGTGCGAGCCGCGAATTTCAGCCACCCGAAGGGTTCCCCAGTGGTGGAAGCGCCCATGGTCTGACAGGACCAACTTGGATCATTCGAATGGGGATTTTGAGGGCACGTTCAAAGTTGGTCCTGTCAACAGCGCAAGTTCTCACGAACTTGTTTGGAAAGTAACTACAATATAAACAATGCTCCTCCCTTTCTCCTGTCATCTCTCTTTCTGCGTCTGCGATGGCTCGGTCCTCGGGCATGACCCAGCTCGTGAGTGATTCCCACCAGCTCCTCTGGATGCAGCAACTTGGATCCTGTTTGGCACGGCTGTTCGGCGCGACCGGTGTGCGACCGCTGCGGCAGTTCAGTGTGCATCGGGAGGTCAGTACTGCGACCGGTCCGCACCGGTCACTGTTTACCTTCCTTTTTTTGGGAAATTGAATTCTAATTAGACTTATTATAACTATTACTGGCTTCTTGTTACTACTAGTAAGGCACTTGTTACTAGTAGCGATGCACTTGTTCCTAGTTGTGTTCCGACTTCTTGAGAAAAATGTGCACCGACCGTTTTCTGTGGATGGTTGTTCACATCTCATCGTCGCAAAAACATGTCATCATCAACAGTCAACACGTGTCAACATCTAATTGGGTTGACTGGTCATGAGTGGAACTCAACTCCCGTGAGTCGATTTCAGCCGTTAAAGTCATTTCAGCCTTTCCATTCTGAAAAACGATTTGCTACTCTTCTTCGTTCGCTGCCCATCGACCTTTGCCCGGGGAACATCGCATCCACGTAAATCATCGTAAATCTGTTGGGTATATATTATGTATATACCCTGTTAGATCCAAGTACTCTCTCAGAGAGTGATCGGGAAAACAGGGTCGAATAATGGACTAGAAATTTATATGTCTGAGAAATCTATGGTAAACTAACTTAGATATTCTTATATATATATAATATATATATATATACAGTACAGTACTAGTCTGGTCTTGGAACTGTCTGCACAATGCCCCTTTCGTTCGGCTGATGTCCACCTTGGCCCAGTCCAACGCCCGGCAAGTTGCAACCTAGGTCTCGGCCACAAGAATTGTTGCGACCACGAAAGGTTCATTGGAATTGGAAGGCATAAAAGCATACTCACTAGTTGCTGGAACGCTGGAAGATTGGCCAACATACTTTGGACATTGGATATGGGCTGGTCAAAACCCCAGAACCCTGGGTGACCTGGGTGACCTACCAGGAATGTCAACCTGCTTTTGCAGGTCCAGGCTTTTGCCACAGCGTTCACAGTATGCAATGCCTGCATGATATTGCATCTGTTCTTGGTATCTTCTGAGTCTGCAGGAAAACATATGCTTCTTGTTCTCAGTCAAAGATTCGAGGCACCCCTGAGTGCTTCGGCTAAGGTAAGCATGGCCAGGACAAAGCCGAAGCGCCCCAGCCAGTTCCACTGCTGGGCGACCCAGGAAGCTCATCCTCGCTGTGTAAGTTGTGTTGATTCGGGCACCAGTTGTTTGTTTTTAATAGAACACCTCTTTTTGTCCGCTCCTACTCAACTAATTAAGTAGGCACCTACTTAATTGGGTAAGAGCTACTAGTTATATATCATAACTCCTAGTAACTGGCACAGGATAGCTCACGCTAATCATTTGGTTCCTAGATTTTTATAGAAACTTCACACGTAAACACCCCCGACCAGAATGGTCTTACATCTCCATATGGGAGGTTTTATGCCTCAATAGTCTACTACATTAGTGGATATTCGGTATATATTGTCCATGATCTTTCATTATAGAAAGCTCTGGCTATCCATGTTGGTTTTTCCGTCACACAGGCGCAAAAGGTGACTAGCAGAACTTAATCATCTCTTGCATGACTGCATAGGCCGAACTCGCCCCACGAAAAATAAAAATAAAACCAAGAATATCGTCACATTGCCAAGGACTGGGTGCGTTTTACCCGCGCGGACTTTACGGTTCGCCGGTTCGCCGTGGTTGTTCGCCGTCCTTCGGTATAAGTCTAAGTAGACATACCCCAGTTTACCTCGTCCAGCCTTTTTCACCTCAGCGCTTTGCAAAGCTCCGGAACGTCCCCGATGCTGACATGGGTGTTTCGAGCGGCGCTGACGAAGGTGCAATGAGGAAAAACAAATGTCTAACATCTCTAAGTCTCTAACCAAAACATACCCAGATCGCATCTTTGATGAGCATGGCATATATGGCATAATTAACTATTAGCTATTGTATGCTATTGGCTAGTCTGGTCGAACTTCGTTTCCAACGGCCCGCACTGCGGAAGGCGGTCCATCAGTCACCTGCCATGTCCGGTAAACCGCGAGCAACCGCCAAAGCGAACCGGGGCTGGACAGGCTCGGCGTGTGCTGCGGAAGACCTTCTTTGGTGTCTGTCTGGGCTCCAAAATTCTGGCCTGCCTGTTCTATAGGTCGATGCCAGCAATTGAACAAGCTCCCCGCTCCCCCCCAAATTCACCTCGTACACTTTCACAGATCTGTGCCAGCCGCTGAGCAGTCGAGTGAGCAAATTCGCCCCATCAACCTTTCCAGAGTGGTGAAAGGTGCTACTGCAAACATCGCGTCCAGGCATGTTGCATGGTGTGTTTGTTCTGCAGGTCTGCGCATGTCCAAACGGAACTAAAATGAAAAAACACTCTATATATAATATATATCATATCTATCTACCTACCTGAGAAAGGAGGAGACGAAAACCAGCCCTCGTAGAGCCTCGTAGACTCGTAGACACTGAGAACTCTATAATATATAATGGTTGTATAATGGTTGTTTGTGTGAAATTGAAACTTCAGTTTTGAAACCGTCGCACTTGCTGGTAGCGCATGACATTGGTCGCCATGTGAGGTCATTGTGGGTGGGTGGGAATTTGCTGCCTTTGTTGAGATTGGCCAGAGCCCTCGGACAGCTAGACAAGAGCACGTTGCCAGAGGCTCAATAGAATTCTACTTAAAATCAACGTCACATATTACAATAAATTCTGGCTTGACACGGCTACACGGAGCACAACATTGCCAACATGGCCAGGCCAAGTATAATCTCAAGCCCGTACTGTCAGTGAAAGACTTCAAAGGTACATCGTGCAGAATGCCGCCTATGCGAACTTCTATGTACTTGGCTTGCAGAGGTACTTTGTGTTCACAGCGGCGCAGACATCCTTAAATATGTTCCAGCAAAATTTGGACCTCAAGGTGGCCTTCAAGCAGGCCGCGAACATAGTCTTTCAACGTGTTTCTTGAAGCGGTCCTTTGCTGATACCAGACATTGCCTTCTTCGAGATGTCTTTATAGCGGCTTAACACACCTGCTTGCAGGTTGCCCATGTTTGTCGGGGGAAGAACCATACACATAACTAGACAGACTGACTTGAATGGTGTGATGCTAATGGTGCAACCGTTTGGGCATCACTCGCATTACCAAGGCCCTTATTAAGTTGCATTTCGAGTGCATTTTAGCCACCCCGTGTGTTCGCTCTCCCCCATCAGGCTCTGGGTTCACCCTACTTGCCAGGACCCTCCACTCACTTCGGGCATTGCTTGCGTCTAGTTGTTGAACATGATGTTCACATGATGTTTGCAACTCTATTCTGGTCTGCTGGAATAATACAAGATGTTTGCAACCAACACATCGACATGATCCGAGGTACCATGCCTCACGGAAGGTCACTGAGTAGGCCTTTCCCACGAGATTCAGCAGGCTAGGCCTTAGTGAGAGGCTGTCCATAATGGAGGGTGGGTGAAGCATGGTGAAGCACTGAGCGCCACGCAAACATTTGTCAGCTGGCAGAAATTCAGATAACCTCCATCTCACAAAGAAGCAATTTCAGTCAATTGATCTCAATTGAAAAGATGGGAAGCAAATGTGAGACACACTCGTTCCATCCTACTTCATGTGACGAGATCGACAAGATTGGGCAGGCCGCTGAAAAGAACTGCACCCGTAACACGCAGAACAAAGCTCCAATAACATCCTATGAAATGGCACATGTTTGCAGCACTTGAAGTCTTGTTGGCACCATGGTTCCAGTGAAGTGTTTGCGGGGACTCGTTCTTACAAGTCGGTCCAGGCTTTCCAGCCCACAAATGCCAACAGCATAGCTCACAAAGAATCACATAGAATTACAATTCCCAAGTACTGATCCTTGGATCACCGAACGATATCGAACGATCCTAGTTCTCAGACTGTTCTCAGGTTCTTCCACCGAACCACCGACTCTTCCCCCGCCATCCGGCATCCCATCACCGGGCCGCTCCGGGCACCCCAAATCGACAGCCTCCAGGTGTCGATTTCCCGTGCGACGTGCGCGCGCCAGAACATCTGCGAGGCAAAGCGTCAGGGCTCGTGGTGTTCGAAGAGACGGGGCTGCAGGGCGAGATAGACCAAGAGATAGACCGGGAGGGTGAAATGGGTGAAAGACGGTGAAAGTGTGGAACTTCCGGAGACACAAAATGAAGACTGTCAGAAGAGCCAAAAGAGGCCAGCAAAGGCAGAATAGAACAAATGTGGCCACAAGTACCCTGCTCGCCTGGTCCACATGGCTCAGGCCTTTGCTACCACCTGCGTTTGAAGCGTCGGGAGACTGTGGACGACTTAGACTTTGCAAGAGATGCTTCCTTGGACTATGTCTACATTATGACTGTCCTGCTGAGATTTCAGCAGCTCTTGCGAGGGTTCCTCGTGCATTAACACGGCCAATATAGGCCAATTGGCTATTGCTCCATGGAGAGATTTGCAAACACGTGAACGTCGGGACACTGCAAAATACAAGTACAGTATTTGCTAGCTGCACAGGTGTGAACACATGGTGCTTTTGCATCCCAACAGCTGTGAGATCTGTCTTCACCTTCAGCTGTGATCTACTTCAGGGCGGTGGAGATCGAGTTCAGGCTGCAAAACACTCAAGACCAATAATAGTGGAACATCGAATCACATTCAAAACCCTGACATGGAGACTTGACTAGACCCGAGTAACATGCTGGCACTAGATCAACCTCAGCATTCAGTTGCGCTCAAGTTTTTTATACTGTACATAATATATTCCCCAGTCTCACCTCGGCTGCTCACATCCTTCATCTTCTTGACCGCCTACGCTGCAACCACAAAAACGGACCATCCTCATCCATTTTCCACAATAAGATTCAAAAAGTAGATCGCAACAGGAGCACATCGCCTTCCCCTCTTGCTGGGTGTCACACAGCGCTTCAAACATGTTTTAAAAAAAAGCACGAAAACGAGGGTTGAGCAATGAGTTTTCTCTCACGTGAGAAAATCCTCATTCAATCTACAAAGATCGTCCTTCCAGTGATGATTCCAGTGATCATCGCTGATCCGTCTGATCGGAACTTCCTGTGTGACTGGGAAGGGAAACGGAGAAACTCTGAAGCTGGATGGCCACCAAACCACCTGGGATTCACCGCGGTCAACCGCGTGGTGTAACTGCGGTTCGGTCCCGACCGAAGCGTCCGAAGCACGACCGAGAGGGCGACATGTCGTACACCTTTCGTTGACACCGACTGGGCAATCCTGGAACCAAAAATGGATGGAATCGATATAAAAGGGACAATCCCATCTTGGAACAGTAAAAGTGAAAAGGTGAAATGATTAAGAGTTGCTGCACTTAGGTTGGTGAGTTGGCGAGCTTTACTCGAAACATCTCGAATCTCCGTGACCGGCCTTGGACATGGTGGGTTGTGCCTCTTGCCAACCTCAGTGCAAAGCCTCCTTCCAAGACTCTGAAACAAAGTTTCTACGAAATGCAGTGAAATATTCTGCAGCGAAGTAGTACGCTCCCCGCACACACACAAATCACACATCCAGATTGTTTTTGTTTTCTCCCCTCTATCGGTACTGCTTTTGAACTGGTCACTATTCACTATTCAGCAGCAGGCACACAAATGCCAAGAGTTCCACATCATCAGCGCTGTTCATTTGCAAATTGTTGCTTGTTCCTGACAATGTATGCATCCTACATCGCCCTACTAAGATGCTATCTGGTGCACTCTTCGTTGCGAACGAACATATGGGTGTAAAATAGGATGTCTTCTGTCTTTGGGTTGAATGAATACCTGCAACTACTTGCCAGAGACCTCAGGTAAACAGAGTAGACCCCAAAATCTGGGGTCTAACGTGAAAAACCTTGAGTTAGCGATGCTTAGTAGTAAGGCCAGGAGCTACTAGTTAGCGTTTTTTGCTCCGTTCATAGCGATGCCAGTTTCGCCCCTAGTCCGTAGCGTCCTTTTTCTGTTCTCCATCAGACCGAGGTGACACGGACGACGCTCCCAACGCTCCATCGGTCCCGGCATTGGTCCATCCAGCGCCTCGCTGTCGCCTCGCGGCGACGTGCAGGATGCGACGCGTGGTGCCAGTCTCGGTGCGATGTTCAATTAAAGAACATGAATGGGGCTTGGAACTTGGAATGAAACTCTATGAAGCGCTTTTTGAGCAGCTTTTGTTCCCTCTGCAGTTGTGCTTCTTGTTGGCTTGATGTTCTTTTCACCTGACCCACTTGCCGCTGGTGAGACCAGGGACACGAACTCATGGGGGCCAGGAAAGCGAAAGAGATAGAGATTAGAGTTTTTGGATGTTTTTGGTGAGTATGGTGGGGTCCATATCATTCTCCAACACCTGCATCGGTAACATCTTGGTTGGATTTTGGTTTTTGGTGGGACGTCTGGAAACACAGCTCTAATGGCATATCTCTCAGCCCATGTTGTGATTCAGTCGGCCACTCACGTGGATTTGCAACCCAAAGTCCATTCAATTTAATGAATTCTGCCGTGATTGTAACTATTCTTTCTGGAACTGCAAAGGATGTGTATCAGGAACCTCATCTCCCACTGCCATAGGTGCCATCTCAAGATCAGCATAGCTCCTTGCTCAATGAGAAGCATAGGCAGGCATGTCTACGGCGACTGGGTGAAGTGAACATTGACAATGAGCACTGAGTCGTCTATAATCATGATTATTGGTCAGGAACATCCAGGCACATCTTGGCAAATCATGGCCCTTGGACGCGTTCAACTCCAGATGATAAAAGCCTGGCTCTAAACTCTGACCTGGGTTGAGTTTGCAGTGACTTGCCTTGTGAGTGAGTGTGGAAACATTTGGCGAGTGAAAATCTACATTCTCCCAAAGTTGAACATCTGCATTCTCAGATCTCTTCAGGATCTTGACACCATGTCTAATCATAAGTCAAAGCCTCTTCGACCAACTCCGGGGAGAACCCACCAACTCACGTAGATCGGGGCGACCACCGATCGGTCTCATCGTGTTTCGGATTGGTCTCTCCTGAAACCCAGCTGCTCAGCAACCTTTCTCCGAGCTCCTGAAGAACGCATCCAACGCCGTTCGTCTCACGCAGCCAACGTGGCAAGGTGTTAAGCCAACAAACAGAATCATACAACATGTGTTAAAGCCAGGACCGGTATCTTTTTCCAGCTTGCCCATGCTAATTGGGGCTCAGGATTGAAATTGGCGTATCCATTCTCATGCGCCTTCGTTTCTCTTTTTCTCGCTTGGCAAATGAATAGTGCTTGTTGAGCTTTCTGTTTGGCTGAGATCTGACTAGATCTTGCTATCTTGAAGTACCACTCAGTTGAAGAAGCCTCAAGAAACAAATATCGCAAGATTAGTAATTAATAACATCCAGACATGAAAGTGTTGCAAAGACCCAGCCAAAGGGCAAAAGTATTCACAAATAGTACTTACAATTTCTCTCATATAATATACCCTTCAATCACCTTAAAGGATGGTAGTGGTGAAACCTCGCATTTTGCAATCACATGCCTCAGAACATCAGCAGCAACCAGAGCTCTTCTTCTTCTTGCTCTTC